GACACGCTCGATTGCCAAGGTTATTAAAGCATCACTGGGTTTAAATTTCTCCCATGAAATACCTTGTAACAAACTTCTACTAAGTACAAACTAGACAGTAAAGTCTGAATGTTACAACATGTAAGTTAAGCTACTGTGCTGTGACAAAACACGATAACGATTTCAATACATCTCGTGACGCTCAGTTTAACATACTCCCATTGAAGTAATTCTAGTTAACTGTAATATTTATTGCGTTTCCCACTGATGACTGTGAAGTTATTGCTTGAGAAATGCATACCATGTCAATGTCGCAGGGGGGACTTGCATGTAATGTAGATACAAAGTATACTGAACCGCAAAAGAAACGTCACCAAAAGTAACATTGCATAAAAAGTTGTCATTTAAATATCTGGGTAATTTTTGTCAAAGTTTCTCAAATCTAACATTACCTTGTCCGGAAAAATGAAATTTGATGATTAAAAAAAACAAAGCAGATGACAATAAAACCGATCGCCCAAACGCTTCACGGCAACGGCCATGGTAACCCGATGCACGTGAGTTTCGTGCAAATTGAAATGCACATGCGTTCCCCCATTTCTTGCCCTATAAAAATCCACCCAGATCGGATAACATTTATTCATTTTTGAATTGCTACCACATGCCAAGATTGACAAGAAATCAGCGACACCAAGCCTTTGGACGATTGCGAGCTGGACAAACCGCCCGGCACGTAGCCAATACATTTCAGGTCCACGTAAGGACCATATACAGGCTCCAGCAACTGTACCAGACCACCAACACTACAGATGACCGACCACGTAGTGGGAGACCAAGGGTCACCACCCGACGTCAGGATCGTCAGATTGTGCGACAGCATCTTCAAGATCGCTTTGTTACTGCTGCGGAAACTGCTCGACAGACCATGGGGACACACCAGCGACACATCAGTGCGGACACCGTGCGTCGACAATTGACGAGCAGACACCTCCACTGTCACAGGCCGCACCGAGGACCCATTCTGACACCACGTCATTGCCGGGACCGTCACCAGCAGTGGAGAAGGGTCCTCTTCTCTGACGAGAGTCGTTACTGTATCTCAACAGCAGATGGCAGAGAGTCTGGCGACGCCGTGGGGAATGTTATTCGGATGCTTGAGTTGTTGAGAGAGATTCGTGGGGTGGTCCGAGCATCATGGTGTGGGGTTGAATTGGTCTTGCACAGAGGGTCGGCCCTGTGGTCTTCCAGAACATCGGTCCAGGGAGAGGCAATGGTGTCACAGCAGCTCGGTACATTGATCAATTTTTGAGACCACACGCCATACCTCATTTGGCACGTCACCGCAACCACGAGTTTCAGCATGATAACGCCCGTGCCCATACTGTGAGAGCAACAAGAGACTTCCTCCAGCAGAATGGCCTCAGAACCATGCAGTGGCCTGCCCTTAGTCCCGATTTAAATCCCATTGAGCACCTGTGGGACGAGATTCAAAGACGGCTGACAACTGCAGCTGAACTGCGTTAGGCGTTCCTCAGAGTGTTGGCTCAAGTGCCTATGGCCTTCATCAAACGCCTCATCCATTCCATGTATCGACGTTGCACGGCAGTCATCAATGCACATGGCGGACACACGAGATACTGACTTGTGATGCCATTTTATCAGAGTCTAGTGTTGTTTCACTTTAAGAACATTTGACACTTTTATTTCAACCTTGATGATCGGTTTTGCCAAGTTTCATCTTTTTAATATGTCTCAAAGCATGTTTACAGTGTTTGGACAAATAAGGCTTCTCATATATCTATCCATGGTGACGTTTCTTTTGCGGTTCAGTATATTTACTCAGCTCAACTCAATCCCATCGGTCAACAATGGGAGGAATATTCATTGAAACCTGAGTCGCTAGTTTCACCAGTTCAAGTGACTATCATATTACAGAACATAATCTAGCTGCAGTTGTGCCTCTTGTATATATGTCACTCGTTTAAAACTTGTAATGTCAGTTTTCTATTAGTGAGTGAGTGAGTATGGTTTTACGCCGCTTTTAGCAATATTCCAGCAATATCACGGCGGGGGACACCATAAATGGGCTTCACACATTGTACCCATGTCGGGAATCGAACCCGGGTCTTCGGCGTGACGAACGAACGCTTTAACCACTGGGCTACCCGACCGCCCCCAGTTTTCTATTAAATACACCTTTTCACAATTGATGGTCTGGTGCATGAACTACATGTGAAGAGATATGTCGGTATGCGGTTATCAGTGTTATCATGCAGTACCGCTTCAGGACAGGAGCATGTTGGGATTACCCCAACGCTAATCCTTAACGTAATAGAAAATTGATCAAGTGACAAGGCTCTGTGACTTGGCTGTAGTCCAGATTGCGGGAATAGTTGCGCGATAACTTACAGGTCGCCGTGAAAGAGCTGGAAATAGTATTCACTCACCATGTAAAGGCTTGTTTGCCTAAAATCCCATATATTTGTATATTGACACATAAAAGAAAATACTTTTGCCAATTTACCGGTGTATGCCTAGAAGTTGACATTGGTGACCTGTTTCAAACTGATACATGGTCGATGTGCATTTGGAATAATACAATTACTGCTAAATTTCTATTTCAATAAACATAAGTTTTGAAATTACTTCAAACTTGCTTAGACTAACAACTGTCCTCAGTGGTACCCCTTTAATAGATTTGGGGAAAAAAGATGTTTGGGTGACCCAAAGTAATACTCCCTTTGCATCATGTCATGACATATCAAACCCAAACATAATCAGAATACAATTTGTTTTCTGTGAAATATTAAGTGGACATGAATTAATCTTGACATCGATGTCTGCTGTATAAATGAACGTTATGTACGTGTAAGTTAATTTCTTTGGCCGTTCCAGCAGTGAATATGTCTTGATTGAATAGATAAGGTCTTCTAATCTATATCCAGACCTCGTGTATACCAGGACGTTACACACAATATCCTTTGTAGTGGAGCTCCCCACAATGCATTGACAGCTACCTATGTAACCTGATCAGCCACACCTAAACATGCCAGGCTGTTTATGCAGCGTTGAGCAAGCTTTGTTTACCTCTATCGGGACACCCAAACCGGGTTGCAATAGGCTTTTTAATCCTCCTAGTCGCTTTGTTTACAAATCCAATTACTTATTTACGCTTGGTTTTTTTTCGAAATATCAAGTATGTTATGTTAATACAAAACCTTACATAGGCCCTTCTTGGCCTGACTACAGAAATTAATGTAAAATCAATTTGAATGTAAACTGGTCCGTTGTTGAGGGGTCATGTCAAAAGCGATTTTAACAGAGGGTAGGAGTGGCTGAGTGGGTTTTGGAGATCGAACCCAATGAATCCAAACAGCCTCATCCAAACTAGCATCTCCCACTACACACAACCCACCTCCAAGATCTGCCACTGGACCGTATCTTGATAGAAGGGCGGTATTTACATTTGCTTGCAACACGTTCTGCAGCGGACACTTTCCATGAGCACATTCTACAGGGGGCGCTTTAATAGCTGTTGCGAGCGTATGTTGATCGTGTGTGAACAATAAGAGTATCCTGGTTCTGTCCGGCAACATTTCCCTGTGATAATAATGTTAAATACGTCGTTAATACAAATAACTGGGATACAGTAACAGTGGGTTGAATATGCAATCGTATACAATGACAATGTATATCTAAGTTGTTATGTCTTTCTCTAATCTACAAAACCCCTGGTCGCCATTCGCGTAACCGACAAGAATGCTCTGTCGGAATGACCCGAGTAGTCACGAATGTCCACACTAAGCCGAGTGCACCTTCTCTCAGTGGGCGAAATAAACGTCTAAGAGTGCTCTCCCTTGAAATGGTAAGCTTAAGCTATAGACAGGAACTGAAAGCGTCCGTTTTATTCATACGTCCCTGAACTGGCACACAATTATTATTCGTGATATTTCATAGAGATAAATTCCTGTTTTAAATTACATTTGTACAATAAAAGTAGCATAAGAGAATACCCGTTATTTTCAACACAGTTAACGCTCAACTAAGTGTTGTGTTAGTGACAGGCAAGTGTAGAGGACAACTACATCTGTATTATATATACTATTTAATAGGAGAAACTGAAGTCCAATGTCTTTTCACGATGGTGTAACTATGTGCACTCGCCATATGTACATAATCTGAACCCTATGTTACATAAGTGAGTGAGTATGGTTTCACGCCGCTTTTTATTCCAGCAATATCACGGCGGGGGACACCAGAAATGGGCTTCACACATTGTACCCATGTCGGGAATCGAACCCGGGTCTTTGGCGTGACGAGCGAACGCTTTAACCACAAGGCTACCCGACCGCCCCCTATGTTACATAAAGTATTGCTATTTTGTCAATACGTAAAATGATAAAAGTCAAAGTTGCTCCGTTTTCAGCTCCAGGGTCAGCTACAATTAAAGCCTATTGTTAACCACAAAGGTCTACTGGGTACATGTTAATTTGAAGTCCTGCTACATTTTATTCAATTTATTCAACGTCAAATTGGTTGTCTACTTTAAAGATTAAAACTAATGTTTTAATTACTTATAAGAAAATAACATTACGCTATTTGTAATACCTAGACCTATAAACTGCAGAGACCCCTGACCGTGGAGAGTTGTTACTCTGCAGGATGCGGTTGGCATATTCATTTTCAATTCCTATTCCTCTGTGAATACCTGCTGGACACCTTGAGAGACAACATTTAGAAGCTGGAACTTCGTGGAGACCGACCCATTGACTTAAACTGATTCAGGTCTTCGTGTCAAATGTTTTCCATAAAAGTATTCACACATTGAGTCAACCGAAGTTCCCTTTTCCCATATTGACATATGTACATGTATTTAGTTGCTCATTTTTTTTATGTCACGGTCAGCAATATCCCAGCTGTGCCATTGTGTGTTCTAACACGTCTTGGTCAGGCAAACTTGTGGCTGATAGCATAATTAACGTCCTAATATTTAACAGAAAATATTAAACGAAAACATGTAGTATTAATAACCAAACAAGCATTTATTCGTCATATGTTTACATGGAAAACTGATAGTGATATATGTTTGTATGTTAAAGGGTTGACAAAATTTATACTATATGTTATACATTTGAAAATAATAATGAAAGCAGTTCACACTTTCAAAGCAATGGATAAAGGTCCATGAGTACAAAATAGTAATTCAATGTATGTTAAAATATATTCACAAGTGTGTATAGTTTATGAACAACCGAATAGCAATATTTTTCTTAGACTTGCACATGATATTTACCATGTCCGCACGTACATTTCAACTACTTGTATTCAAATAATGTACCGATAAGGCACACGATGACAACTGTTCTGTTGCTTCGTAACAATATATATTGAACACATCTGGCTGAACGATTAATAAGATAATTGGTTGGGTGTAGTTCGGTGATTCATATTTGTTTCAATTTCTAAATAAGACACTACTGAAGACGGGCATTTCCTGACAATGATTATATTGTCTCGCCAGGACCGAGAGTGGATGAGGAGTTCTTCATGCATGCAGCTCAATGGCGTCAGCATCAGCATCATTAGGTTAGGACTTAGTTAGGACTGCCCTCTACTGGATATATGTAGGATGTTGGCCTGGAACAGGACAAAAGTATTACTCCTCAACATGTATTAAATAGACAGACTATGACATTATTCTATTGTGGAAGATCCGAACAAATTGTACCCATGTCGGGAATCGAATCCGGATCTTCGGCGTGACGAGCGAAAGCTTTAACCACTTAGCTACCCGACCGCCCCTGACGAATATTAGTTGTGACGTGTTAACGTATGTTTATCTTACCTTGAACTTGCAGACACATATGCATCATTTGGAACACCGGTTGGCTGCAAAGGCGAGAAAGTAATACATTCCATTTAAACACTCACAGAATATACTTTATAAATCAAAGTCAAAATGTTATGCCACACCAGAGTGATCAGATAGGAAAGGGGAATAAATCTTTAATGTCATGGACCTAAAGTTTCGGCAGGTGTCAAACTTTTAAGTGAATGATTGAGTGAGTGAGTGAGTGAGTATGGTTTTAGGCCGCTTTTAGCAATATTCCAGCAGTATCACGGCGGGGGACACCAGAAAAAAAATGGGCTTCATACATTGTACCATGTCGGGAATCAAACACGGGTCTTCGGCGCGACGAGCGAACGCTTTAACCACTAGGCTACCCGACCGCCCCTTTTAAGTGAATGAATATTGTTGAGTTGGAAAATGGTAAATTGTATTCACGTCTACACAATTAGATATAGCACAGGCTGACACACTTATCATACACATGGCGTCAAGAATGAAAGGCTATAGTCTTACCGTATCTCTGTCCCTGAGTATGTAGTAAGATCTTTCTTCTTCAGTCATATTTGCAGCAAGTAGGTCATATTCGGTTGGTACTGGCATCTCCGGAGCTGTTTCCTGAGCGTCCGTACTTTGTCTTGCATGTGGTAACGTCCTCCACCTAAACACAGTCGTGGTTTGCTAAATACATTAATATAAAACGTCCGCGCCAGTGAATAACAAGTATCGATTATCCGGCGAAAAAGATACCATTGGGCGTTTAATGCAAAAGTGCGGTAGAATGCAAAACTATCTGGATTAGACTTAATACACATAGAGAATGCATAAATTAATTGAATTAATCCTCGATGGCAACTGGAAGACTGTGGCTATCTGTTCTCTAACGAGATCGGGTGGTCAGGCTCGCTGACTTGGTTGAGTCATGTCATCGTATCCCAATTGCGTGGATCGATGCTCATGATGTCAATTACTGGATTGACTGGACCAGACTCGATTATTTATGTCATGTAGCTGGAATATTGCGGCGTTAAACAACAAACAAACACTTACTTGTATACAGCAAATACTGCAATAAGGCTGATCACCGCAAGTAGGACTGCCATAGCTATGAATAGCCCAAGGAATAATACTCTCTGTTGTGCGCTCTGTTGCAGCTCTGAATATGCGTTTTCAGCTATACATTCAGTAGCGGTAAAGTCCCTTAAGGATATAATAACGGCACATGATCTGAAACAAATATCACTAATTATTCAACACAAAAATATACAAATTGTCAAAAGAAGAGAATAACCAGTCTAGAGTATCCGCCGAAACAGATTCCATTTGGCGTAAAGGGCAAAATAGCTGTGAAAACTATATGAATGGACCACTGAAAATCAGTGATGACACCAGGTTTTCGCGAAAAACGTAAGAATGCCCTGCCTACCCGGTAGCACCACCCATTCACACAATTTGTATAAAAAAGTTAAGTGTTTACAGGATAATAAGTTTGACAATGTTTGTTTTTTATTGAATATGTCACGTAACTTGCCAGTGCTTCGAGTATATAGTGTTGTTTTAACATTTTTCTTATAACGTTTGATAATTTAACCGTTTGTGTGTGCATACGTCACGTCACATGTGTGTCAATATAGATCAGTGTCAGCATAAGTCAACGGTGGTTATGCCCCTGTGGTATATGTTGTGTTATTTTAACACTAATATTGGGGTTTGTTTGAACACGTTTAATGACAGGAGAAATACATGCGACAGTCAGCATGGCGTCCATTCAACACACAATAATAGATGACGTAACTCGATGACATAATACGCAAACATTTACGAAGGGGAGCTAACTCTGATATTGACTGGGTATAACCCAAATCGGCGAAAACGCTTCAGTATAAACCTACCCAGTCCTCCGATAACGGCTTGAATCGGTGGCGATTACTACTAACTCAAGGACTCGGGGTACTGTGTCGTCCAATGTATACTGCACATATATCTTCCCCGAATGGCTGTCGATCTTGAATGTATCCTGTAAAATAATATACGACTCAAGCGTGCCTCATAATCATATCAATGTTTGCAAGGCAATTTAAGCTGAATGTAAACTAGAACAAGTATTTGTCACAGAGTGACGAAATATCCCCCGCCTGTACACCATAGTACCAAATATGAAGACAATCCAGCGATTAGTTCTTGAGATATTGTGGCAACACCGTTTTCCAACTCCAAAAACAGATTTGCCTGCTGTGACCTTGAAAATGGGGTCAAGGTCACCAAATCTGACAGATGTATGCGGTGTCTGTATATACACTATAGTTCCAAATATGAAGACAATCCAGCGATTAGTTCTTGAGATATCGCGGCAACACCGTTTTCTAACTCCAAAAGCAGATTTGCCTGCTGTGACCTTGACAATGGGGTCAAGGTCACCAAAACCGACTGGTGTCTGCGGAGTCTGTATATACACCATAGTTCCAAATATGAAGACAATCCAGTGTTTAGTTCTTGAGATATCGCGGCAACACCGTTTTCCAACTCCAAAAGCAGATATGCCTGCTGTGACCTTGAAAATGGGGTCAAGGTCACCAAAACCGACTGGTGTCTGCGGAGTCTGTATATACACCATAGTTCCAAATATGAAGACAATCCAGTGTTTAGTTCTTGAGATATCGCGGCAACAAACAGGTGGGACGTACGGACGGACGGACGTACGTACGGACGGTCGTGAATACTATATCCCCCGCTTCGCGCTTTCGCGCGGCGGGGGATAAATATTGCCCATTCAGTAACCTATCAGAAAGAGTGTGTTAGAGCAACGTAAAATATTACCCACCCTATGATTTCCCCTTTGTATGGCGTATGTAACGCTGTGGCCATCCGCATCCGTTGCTCGGAAGTTGTTAATTTTAACCTCTGTGCCTTTTCGAGATAAAAACATCAATGAGGCTTCATAGGTATCTGAAACATGTGAATACGGCTTCGTTACATTAGGAAAACAGGAACAAAACAATGACAAATAGTTTCCCTCAACAGAAGTGTTTCTGAAAGTATACTCAGGATTAACTTTGAACACCAATCCATTAAAAATGAAAGTGCTATAACATAAAAAGTAACTTATGACTAATATTCATAAATACTGATGATGTATTATTCAACTGGTCATTTCTGATTATTATATATAATTTTGCTGAATAAATTCCTTCTCCTTAATCGTCTCTTTTAAATGGTAACGTTTGTTGGTAAATATACGAACAAACGCCCAGAAGAAAATTATGTCCTTCTGGTATAATACCTCGTTCACAAGATGTGCTTGTCGCGAATTAATAAGCTAGTGTATCGTCCAGTTTCTGGAGTCAAAATAGTTTACCTTTTCCAAATGTTGGAGCATGATCATTGTAGTCGGGTCGGACGTTTATATAGACATTCGCATTGGTACTTGCTGATACGTTGAATGTTCCTTTAAAGTCATCCTCTTTCACATTGACAACCATCTGGTGAGAAGCAAAGTTTTTAGGCTTTAATGGTATTTAGTGAGTAAGTATGGCTCAACGCCGATTTATCTTTTGTAATATTTCAGCAATATAATAGCGGCCGAACTCCAGAAACGAGGTTCACATATTATACCAATCTGGGGATTTGAAACCGGGCTAAAGAGGAAACGTTTAATCACTTGACTACCCCAATGACCCTTTAACGGTAATTTGAGGGAGATTATACGCTGTAGGTTCTTCTCCGGTTGCCTTATGGCAAACACTCCAAGTTCACCAAACGGCATTTCTGATCGTCAGAAGCGATCTTCAGTAAAACTTTGAGTTACAAGTAACTCTAAAAATGCCGGACTGGGGCCGAGTGTACCCTATAACCGAATAAAAGATTTAGGAAGGGTCGAAGATGGGAAACAAAAATTATTGATGGCCTAATGATTTCCTGGCCGCAGTCTCCTAGGGGCATTTAGGTACTTCCTTGTCCGATTTCGGGCACAGAGTTTCAGAAACATCGAAACACCCAAAATATGCAATATCTAACCCTTAATCCTTATTTTCTATTGCAACATTTGCCACAAAAGAAACATTTGCCATAAGAGAGAATATCTGTCAGTGTTTGAAAACAGTCATGCAAGAAAGATTATAAGGATACTTACAAATTCATCCTCTGATTTGATATTTGGATTTTTAGAAATAATAAGCAGTTTCTTGTTTAATTATATGCATCTTTTCATAACATAACCATGTTTAGCCATATTAAGTGACTATAAGATCTGTTAAACTGAATAGGAAGGCAAGATATACTCAACAACAAAAGTTCCAATATTTTAGTGTATTTTTCACAAAAACGCAACTGCTACAGAAAAGCATGCATTCCATGCAAAAGTTGACTTTTATGCAAGCCTCACTTTCACTATCCAAGAATGGGTATACAAACATGTGCGTTAACGGGATTCCATATGCTTTGTTTAGCATCGTGCTGACAACAACCACTCAGAAAAACAACAAAATTACCCAATTATTCAACATTACGAAATGCCACGCCTGTCCGAAAATGAGCGTCTGCGAGCCATTGGTGTGCTTGAAGCAGGATCGAGTCAACGTGATGTTGCAAGACAATTTAACGTCCACAGAAACATCATTTGGTGTTCATGGCAACGTTGGCAACAGACGAATGCAGTCAGAGACCATCCTCGGAGTGGCAGGCCACGCGCTACCAATAATCGACAAGACAACTGGTTTCGAACAACACACCCACGAAATCGATTCCAGCCAGCAACAGTGACTGCAAGAAGCATCCCTGTCCTTCGACGAATATCTTCACAGACCGTACGTCGCTGCCTCAGATGTGCAGGGGTTGTCGCCAGAAGACCCGCCAGACGTCCCATTTTGACAGGAAATCACCGTCAAGCACGTCTACAGTGGTGCAGACAGCATCTACGCTGGACGGCCATGCAGTGGGGACAAGTTCTATTCACTGACGAGTCTCGTTTTCACCTCAGCCACAGCAATGGACGGATTCGAGTGTACCGACGTCACGGTGAACGTTACGTCAATCATTGTGTCATGGAAGAAGATCGGTACGGGGGCGGCAGCGTTATGGAATGGGGTGGGATTACAGCAAGACAGAGGACCCGTTTGATAGTGGTAGAGGGAAATCTCAATGGACAGCGCTACCGCGACGAGATCATTGGCCCTGTTGTTCTACCGTTTTTGCGTTGTCATGGCCCAGGCATTACCTTTCAACATGACAACACCCGGCCTCATATTGCTCGACTTGTTCAGGACAAAACAACGTGAATGTCATCCCCTGTCCGGCTCGCTCTCCTGATCCCTCACCAATCGAGCACATGTGGGATGAGATGGATCGGCGCCTTCGACGTCAACCACGTGTTCCAGACACTCCAGGAACTTCGAAACATGTTCCAGCAGATATGGATAGATATCCCACAGGACTTTGTGCGAAGCCTGGTCCATTCCATGAGACGAAGATCTGTTGCTTGCATCGCAACCAGAGGTGGACACACAAGCTATTGATTTGTAAATTGACATTTTGGCATGTTATTGTTATGAAATCACGCATTTTCTGAAGTCAGTATGACAAATTAAACTATTTGAGCCTTTTATCTGTTGCAAACAGAAATTGTTTCAGATTTGGTTGGTTGGTTGGTTGGTTGGTTTGTTGTTTAACGCCGCACTCAGCAATATTCCAGCTATATGACGGCGGTCTGTAAATAATCGAGTCTGGGCCAGACAACCCAGTGATTGACATTATGAGCATCGATCCACTCAATTGGGATCGATGACATGCATCAACCAAGTCAGCGAGCCTGACCACTCGATCCCGTTAGTCGCCTTTTACGACAAGCATAGTCGCCTTTTACGGCAAGCATGGGTTGCTGTTCAGATTTTATAAAAAGAAACCATAACTTTGCATTAAATCTTATTCAATGTCACAGGAACTTTTGTTGTTCAGTATATATATTACTGGACATATTATTATAAAGGACATTTGCCCTGTGTTGAGCTTACACGAACGTAGGTGTAGTTAAGCAGAGAAGCCCTCACTACCAGAGTTCCATCACCCAGCAGTTCGATTCCCTCAACATCAGTTACGTCTGTGTATATGGGTCGACTGAGTTCATCAGCGTCTACCGACATCACTCTCCCGATCACATGCCCAGCTGGAGCACTCTGAAATGTGAATGTGATTATTTAAACACAGTTTGATATTCCTCCAAAGTTAAGGCATGAATTATGTATTTACCATAGTGAAAAAATACACATCAAACACATAACAAAGCAATAGAAAATGGCACATAAAATCGTAAATTAATTCTTCAAGGGAGGTAACCAGCAGGTATTTCTCATCCTATAGAAAGGTTCCAATGAAACTGTTTCTATTTTTCTGATGAGGATATGTAGAGAATTGGTCCAGCATAGGCTGTTGCAATACTTTGTTTGTATGTTACTTCCCATATAAACGTTGTTTAAGAATCACGAATTTGAACCAGTATTAGATTATTCATGCTTGGGGGTTGACACTGTTAACTATCTAAGGGAGGTAATTACCTCCAGAAGGACACAACAATATACAAATAAGCTTACCTGCGACCCTTGCTTTCCTTCATCCGTACTACTATTAATACTGCTGCTACTAGTAATACTACCATTGATAGTTTAAGGATACCCTAAACTCTTTCGTGACTTAGAAGCATAGATAATGGCAGAGACAATCGAGACTGGTTATTCTCTGGCATTGACTTTTTATAGTATTCTTACGTACGTATGTGCAGTTTTAACCTGTTCACTAAGGAATGTATTGTGTGCCAGTAGCTTCTACATTGCCATGATGTATGTAATGAAACAGCGGATTGACGTGACGTTAATTAGATGGTATGCGTGGAGTAACTACCTACCTGACGTACGGCGAAGTTCTGCTGTGTTTTTAAGAAGTAGGGGAAGTTATCGTTAACATCCGCCACAATTATTGCAACTTGTTTTGTCCTATGAAGACCACTGCCACCGTCAGTCGCCTTCACTGTCACATAAAAGTGGCTGCCTGTTTCTTCGCGGTCAATTGGATCCTTTTGTCTCAAGTCGCCAGTCATACTGTCCACATAAAAACTCTCCGAATAATCTGTAACTGAAAGACATAGTTCATACGGTAAAGCATATTGTTATAGCAATTGTTTTCTTAAAAATAAAAACAGCAAAACACCTTACCAAGAAAGTGTTATCCCAAATATAACATTTGTGGAAGCATCGGTGGCTGAGTGGGTACGATTGCTGACTTTGTGTGCTGGTGATTAGGTGCCCCAATCTGAGAGTGTGGGTTTGATCCGAAAAAGTACTACAATTTGTGCTTTACTAAGAAAGTGTTATCCCAAATGCAGAGTCGTTTGTACGTGAGCATGTGTATATGGGGAATACTAATTATGGCAGCAACTGATTGAGGAAAATATCGATAAAGTAAGGACAAGTGTGTATGATACAGTCGGAATCGTTAAATGGACTCCTTGTGGTCATGGAAAGGTTTATTTACTAAGTGCAATAGCATGAAAACGTTGAAACCAAATTCTTAGTTTAACAAGAACAAACCTATACCTAGTATTTCATAGGTGCAGTTACACGCAAATTCGTCACTCTCCTTTCGGACATAAGCTCGAATGGGAACACGTTTATCTTCATCAGGCTTCTCGTTCTCCGTCAGCTTGAAAGTGTATTCCTTTTTGAAGAATGGTCTTGGTTTGTCAGTCCTGATTGAAATGGTAACCTGTAGGTAGTAAACCAGTTATAATCCATAAACAATGGAACCAAGGAGCTGGAAGCGATTATTATTTTCAAATAACACATAGTTATAAATACAGAAGAGAAAAGTCCTCCTTCTAACCTCTGATGAGTGCACCTAAAACCAAACCACATATAACAATGCATTAACCATAGACCTACTTTCAAGGTTCACATTTTCCCTCTTAGGACCTTCAGTGAGTGAGTGAGTGAGTTGGGTTTAACGCCGCTTTTAACAGTATTCCAGTTATATCACGGCGTGCCAGCGTAATGTGGGAGGAAAGCCCGAAGTGATGCAGGTCTGAGACGTTTACTACTTCGGTGAAACCCACGAGCACGGGTATGGTGCTGACAAACCTAGAAACATAATTGGGGCGAACCGGGATTCGAACCCACAATCATAGGTTTTTGGCGTGCCCAAGGGACGCAACTCTTCACAGCGAATCGCGGCGCCTTAGACGACTGGGCCACCCGTGCCCCCCTTAGGACCTTCAGATACAATGAACTAAGGAAAATGATGGAACACTGTTTGGGTTACCATCAAAATAATGAAGAATGTAAAACAGCTACATTACGTTTGTGATTGCTTCCATAGCAGGGTCTGCTTGAGGTAAATCTGTTGCCTTGATCCTCAGAGTGACCTCATCCTCATCCACTGAATCTAGGGTCGTAGCCACGGATATGTCCCCCGAGTCACGGTCAATCTTGAAGTAGTTTATGTCTGGAATATATATTCAGAAATATTTACACTAATATGTCAACGACATTTGACATGCGGACAACTCAACTCAGCGTCTCTAGTTACTGGGTTTACATACACCATCCTGGCAGGTTGTGTGGGGTCAACACAGGAACACAGCAATATATACATCATCTATCTGCCCCCTGGATACCGGAGTATAGGTCCCCAGCATCCTATACTGGTCATAAGTGACGACCAAATAGACCCCTGAAGACCCGGGGTAGAATAGGTCTTCAGCAACCCATGCTTGCCGTAAAAGGCCACTATGCTTGTCGTGAGAGGCAACTAACGGGATCTGGTGGTCAGGCTCGCTGACATGGTTGATGCATGTCATCGTATCCCAATTGCGTGGATCAGTGATGTCAATCACTGGATTGTCTGGTCCAGACTCGATTTTTCACAGACGGCCGTCATATAGCTGGAATATTGCTGAGCGCGACGTTAAACAACAAACAAACAAACAAGATCGAGCGATCAGGCTCAGAGACTTTGTTGGTTGCATCTCTTTGTTTATCATGCCCGGTAATATCCTCCTGACCACAGACAGACATGCTATTAAGTATGCTATTAAGACAGACAGGAACCTTAGACAAGAACAGCGGACACATCATAGATTATGAGCAAAACATACCACAAACGTCATGTAACCTCTTCGTTTAAGTGTGCAAATGACATAATAAAAGGAAGTTTCCTATGAATATTTTCTGATATTTCATGTTCACAACATACTTGATAAAATATGGTATTTAACAACTCCATTGCCGTCCATGGTGCTGTCTCTGTCAGTTGCGGTGATGACGTCAGTGACGAGAGTGTTGATGTTAGCGTCTCTTGATATGTTGGCTCGGTACGGCGTCCCCTGAAACACCGGCGGGTTGTCGTTGAAATCCAGGATGGTGACGGACATAGTTGTCGATCCTGTGAGACGTCCTGTGCAATTGCTGCATCTCTTCATGTCCACAGCAGTCACAATGCATTCATATGTTGAAGCCGTCTCATAGTCGAGGTCGCCGCTCACTTTCACGACTCCAGTCTCTAAAGAAGAGGGATTATACATAGCTAATAAAGACTAGATGTCATCATTATTATAAAAATATTCTTGAAAATTTGAAAAAGCAACACATTTGTCACCACAACGATAAGCAAAGTTATATGTTTTGTTGTTGATTGATATAATAGTAATACAGTGGCAACTGCACCATGACGATGGCTCCACTGAAGGCTATTGCCTTCGCAACTTATGATTCTTAAAGTATACGTCAGAAGACACTTACCCACTGACACTTTGAATGGACAGACAGTTCCGTTCACCATTACGGTGTCAGGAAAATAGGTAACTACACCATGCTGCGCCAAGTCCCTGTCAGTCGCAGTCACTGTCGCCACCTGAAGTAGACGCAACATTTATTATCAAAGTGCAAACAATATGCTGCAAAGGAAATCAGGTACATTGGAAAAGAAGCTCTGTGATTCTTATCATTCCCTGGATTATCTCCCTTGGTTGGCGCCTCATCTGTGTTTTGTCATTTCATTGTGTGTTTCGCGCTATTTGGGCTTTCTTCATTCCAGTGTCGGGGTGGGGGTATATATCTCTGATTATCATATCAAATGTTAAACACATGTATCACTTATTACCAATCAAATGTTTAACATATTTTTCACTGATTATCAATCAAATGTTAAAAACATATATCACTGATTATTGAACAAGTTCTTAACACATATATCTCTGATTATGAAACAAATGTTTTAACACATATATCACTGATTATTAAACAAATGTTAAACACTAATATCACTGATTATCAATAAAATGTTTCACACAAATATCACTGATTATCAAACAAATGTTTTAACACATACTAGTAAATCACTGATTATCAAACAAATGTTTTAACACATATATCACTGATTATTAAACAAATGTTTAACACTAATATCACTGATTATCAATAAAATGTTTAACACAAATATCATTGATTATCAAACAAATGTTTAACACTTATATCACTGATTATCACTCAAATGTTTAACACTTATATCACTGATTATCAAACAAATGTTTAACACATATGTTACTGATTATCAATCAAACGTTTAACACTTATATCACTGATTATTAAACAAATGTTTAACACATACTAGTATATCACAGATTATCAAACAAATGTTTTAACACATGAATCACTGATTATCAAACAAATGTTTAACACTTATATCACTGATTATCACTCAAATGTTTAACACTTATATCACTGATTATCAAACAAATGTTTAAGACATATATAACTGATTATCAAACAAATGTTTAACACTTATAACACTGCTTATCACTCAAATGTTTAACACTTATATCACTGATTATCAAACAAAAAGTTAACACATATATCCCTGATTATCAAACATAAGTTTAACACTTATATCACTGATTATCAAACACATGTGTAACACTTATATCACTGATTATCAAACACATGTGTAACACTTATATCACTGATTATCAAACACATGTGTAACACTTATATCACTGATTATCAAACACATGTGTAACACTAATATCACTGATTATCAAACACATGTGTAACACTTATATCACTGATTATCAAACACATGTGTAACACTTATATCACTGATTATCAAACACATGTGTAACACTTATATCACTGATTATCAAACACATGTGTAACACTTATATCACTGATTATCAAACACATGTGTAACAATTATATCACTGATTATCACTCAAATGTTTAACACTTATATCACTGATTATCAATCAAACGTTTAACACTTATATCACTGATTATTAAACAAATGTTTAACACATACTAGTATATCACAGATTATCAAACAAATGTTTTAACACATGAATCACTGATTATCAAACAAATGTTTAACACTTATATCACTGATTATCACTCAAATGTTTAACACTTATATCACTGATTATCAAACAAAAAGTTAACACATATATCCCTGATTATCAAACATAAGTTTAACACTTATATCACTGATTATCAAACACATGTGTAACACTTATATCACTGATTATCAAACACATGTGTAACACTTATATCACTGATTATCAAACACATGTGTAACACTTATATCACTGATTATCAAACAAATGTGTAACACTAATATCACTGATTATCAAACACATGTGTAACACTTATATCACTGATTATCAAACACATGTGTAACACTTATATCACTGATTATCAAACACATGTGTAACACTTATATCACTGATTATCAAACACATGTGTAACACTTATATCACTGATTATCAAACACATGTGTAACAATTATATCACTGATTATCACTCAAATGTTTAACACTTATATCACTGATTATCAATCAAACGTTTAACACTTATATCACTGATTATTAAACAAATGTTTAACACATACTAGTATATCACAGATTATCAAACAAATGTTTTAACACATGAATCACTGATTATCAAACAAATGTTTAACACTTATATCACTGATTATCACTCAAATGTTTAACACTTATATCACTGATTATCAAACAAATGTTTAAGACATATATAACTGATTATCAAACAAATGTTTAACACTTATAACACTGCTTATCACTCAAATGTTTAACACTTATATCACTGATTATCAAACAAAAAGTTAACACATATATCCCTGATTATCAAACATAAGTTTAACACTTATATCACTGATTATCAAACACATGTGTAACACTTATATCACTGATTATCAAACACATGTGTAACACTTATATCACTGATTATCAAACACATGTGTAACACTTATATCACTGATTATCAAACACATGTGTAACACTTATATCACTGATTATCAAACACATGTGTAACAATTATATCACTGATTATCACTCAAATGTTTAACACTTATATCACTGATTATCAAACACATGTGTAACACTTATATCACTGATTATCAAACACATGTGTAACAATTATATCACTGATTATCAAACACATATGTAACACTTATATCACTGATTATCAAACAAATGTGTAACACTTATATCACTGATTATCAAACACATGTGTAACACTTATATCACTGATTATCAAACACATGTGTAACACTTGTATCACTGATTATCAAACACATGTGTAACACTTATATCACTGATTATCAAACACATGTGTAACACTTATATCACTGATTATCAAACACATGTGTAACACTTATATCACTGATTATCAAACACATGTGTAACAATTATATCACTGATTATCACTCAAATGTTTAACACTTATATCACTGATTATCAATCAAACGTTTAACACTTATATCACTGATTATTAAACAAATGTTTAACACATACTAGTATATCACTGATTATCAAACACATGTGTAACACTTATATCACTGATTATCAAACACATGTGTAACACTTATATCACTGATTATCAAACACATGTGTAACAATTATATCACTGATTATCAAACACATATGTAACACTTATATCACTGATTATCAAACAAATGTGTAACACTTATATCACTGATTATCAAACACATGTGTAACACTTATATCACTGATTATCAAACACATGTGTAACACTTGTATCACTGATTATCAAACACATGTGTAACACTTATATCACTGATTATCAAACACATGTGTAACACTTATATCACTGATTATCAAACACATGTGTAACACTTATATCACTGATTATCAAACACATGTGTAACACTTATATCACTGATTATCAAACACATGTGTAACACTTGTATCACTGATTATCAAACACATGTGTAACACATTGTTTCATATACATACTGATGTTAACAAGGATCTGTCCTCCTTCACTGTTACTGCATTCGGTGTTTGGAATGTGGGGGGATTGTCGTTGATATCCAAGATAAGGATCTGAGCCTGCGTTGTTGCTGTTTTTGGAACATCAGCATTGTCTGCCGCCTTGAAATTAAGAATGAAATGTAACATTTATATTTCAGTAACCATAAACAAGTGGAAGAAACGGTGATAAAATTCAGTTCGTTCGTGAATAGCATTGGTGGCAACAGATGGCACTGTTGGCTTGTAAAGAAATGAGTTATAACGCAAGATGAATTGTGAATTATTCTAATGTTACCTTTATTGTTAAGCTGTATTCGTCAAAAGCTTCTCTGTCTAGATCTCCCGAAACAGTGATACGTCCGGTTCCAGGATGTATGGAGAAATCTGTGAATCGTAACATAAATTCAAAACTCCAAACAAGCAATGAAACATTGAAATGAATGCGGTAATCTGACCGAAGTTGATGATCGGCTGTGACATGTTGCACCTTGGCATAGTGCAACTATCACAAGATATGGTGTATATGGATATACTATGCCAGACGATATGTCCGTAAATGAAAACAGAGGGTATTTAAGGTATTGTACTCGTGTTTCATGATGTTGACGCTTGATGTTATCGGATATAAAAAGCCATTATTTACATAGATCAGACAGTTGTATGGATGTATGAAGACTTTTAATGAGACTTAGTGAATAATTTTCATCTGTAACAATGAAAACCCAAAATAATCAAAATAGCAAAAGGCACCACTTACTTCAAATATATTTTAAATTGTAACTATTCTTCACTGAATAGAATGTGCTTTTTCCATAAACAAAAATGATTAACCATATTGTTTCGTCTAAAAAATAATTAGATTTCAGTATATCCATTCAAAGACAGGCTGCAACTTACGTGTACGAGGTGTCTGCAACTCAATGCTGTATGTTATTGTTCCATTGTCACCTGCATCCTTATCGTGTGCCACGATGCGTGCAATGAACGTGTCCACTGCAGAGTTTTCCTTAACACTGAACACGTGCTGTTCGGGTATTGTCAGAAATCTAGGTCCGTTGTCATTTTCATCTTCAACAGTTATTGTTATCTGAAACAATTCAAGCAAATACTTTAAAGAGATATACAAGACAATCCCACTTACAGTTTTTACTTTATGACAATCGTAAAATAGGTTAATGTTTAATGTGGCCAAAAAGTATAATTAATGCTTTAGGTAATCTGATATCATTCAATAATGGTCAAATAGCCAGTTCCCTTCCACTGATTTACCCAAATGAGCTTGAAATAAAAGAGACCAGTAAAACTGCCTCACTTGTTTCATATTTAGATTAATGTATAAATATTCAGAGAAACCAAAAACATCCACAAAACTATATGACACGAGAGATGACGTCAAATGTTCAATTTTTCCGTTATATCGAGCAACATTCCAGCAGCTCCAGCCTGGTATCATCACTATTCAATAGTGATTCAGAAAAACATGCGTATGATATAGTCGGTTCGTACAATGAACTCTTATTGTTGCTTTTATTTAGATGCATAATAATGTGAAAATACAACGAGGTCCAAACATGAAAAAGCAAAAAGCAAGAATCCAAATACTTTCACTGTTAAATCCTTGTCATTAGTTGATCACTCTATCACTTTGTATATTCGTCATGTGTGTAAATTTAAATGCAGTTCCTTGGTGTATTATGGAAGCCTATATGACAACAAACATAATATAACAAATGTTATATTTGGTATAACACTTTCTTAGTAAAGTACAGATTCTTGTACTTTTTGGGGTTGAGTCCCGTCCGGGATTCGAACCCACACCTGCTAGGGTGAGGCACCTAATCGCCAACACACAAAGTCAGCGATCTAACTCACTCAGCCACCGAGGCTTCCACAAAAGTCCCAAAAATTGGTAGTCTAGATCGCGTACTTTGAGTACCCCCTTGACAAGTGTAACATAGTGTAATATAATATAGTCAGAACAAGTTTAAGTAAAACTATAATCACAACCAATTATCGCTACAAGTCCATCGTACCGAATATATCATGAGCATGTGTTTATGAATCACTATTGAAAAGTGATGATACCAGATGTCTGTTCTATACGAGCTACAAGTGGTACATCTATTGGAAAACCCGCACTTACAACAGCCAGGTCCGAGGCGTTAGTGGCGAGACCTCTGGCGCGGACGATCATGGTATGGTTTGGTGCTGCCTCACGATCTTGTGGTTTACTGCAAGTCAGCGCTCCACTACTTGGATCAATACGGAAATCACCCCCATGGATTAAGGTATAGCGAACTGACACGCTGGCATCATGAGAAGCATTTGCTCTTCCGAACGGTGTGGTATATAATCGGTTCTCCACAATTGAAAAGTTTAACCCAAAGTCTTTAGAACTGAACCGTACAGTACTAGTGCCTTGTATTTTCTTTACATCAACTGATACTGGGGCTGTGACACTTAGCGATGGAGAACCTTTATCTGTAGCTGTAACGTCAAAGTTATATGTTGTGGAAGCATCGGGTTGACTTGCGCCCTCTTTGATGCGTAACACACCCACAGTGTCTCCATCAATGTAGAATGTGTCCGTCTCCCCGCTCATGGAGAGTATAAATAGGCCATTCGTTCCAGAATCATCGTCCGTGACTTCAAAAACATCGACAGGGTTGTTGGTTACCCACTCAAAAGTTGTTATCTCAGACTGATAGTTGGGTTTATCAAAACGTGGAGGGTTGTCATTTTCGTCTTCAACGTTTATAGCCACTGTAACTGTGTCATTCATTGTGGGAAACCCTGGGTTCTCTGCTTTTATTTCTATTAGATGTTGCTGCATTTCTTCATAGTCAAGAGGCATCACACATCTAATGGCGCCAGAGGTTGGATCGACTGTAAAGTTGGAACTTGATGTTGAGAACCTGATGTGAGCATTGCTTCCTACGTCCTGGTCTGTTGCTGTCATTGTCAGGATGTTTCTGTCACATGGGCTATTTTCCGTATAAAGACTTTTGTAGGAGTTCTTCGTAAATGTAGGTTTTTCATCGTTTACATCACGAATATTGACGGTAATTGTCAACACGGATTCTTGAGAAGGAGATCCTTGGTCCCTTGCTTCGATTAACAGGTTGAAGATTTGGATGCTTTCTCTGTCAATAGCCTTGGTTGTCGATACTTCGCCAGTACTTTCGTCAACTTGGAAGAAACCAAATCCCCCATCTATCAATGAGTATGATACCTTTGCATTGAAGCCTTCATCCTTGTCTGTAGCTGTTAACGTAGTGATAGTCTTTGGTCCAACGTTTTCATCCACCAAAGGTACGGACGTCCCGCGGTTAAATTGTGGTGCATTGTCGTTGACGTCCATGATTGTGATGTTGAGTGTAGTGGTGCCTGTGTTAGGATTAGATGAATTGTCTGTTCCAGTTAATGTCAGGACTACGTATGGAGTTACTTCCCTATCAATCAGGGTTCCACTGGTTTTTATGGTGAATTTGTTGTGGTTTGATTTCTCAACAGCAAAATAGGTCTTCCCAGGTCCCGTCAAAGCGAAGTTTACAAAACCATTCACTCCAACGTCTTCGTCGGTAACAGCTATGTCCACCTGCTCAATAGAAAATGATCCTAATTACATATTTGACGAAGGACCCTAGGGCCGTTACATTCCGTATTACTTAGTATACCCCACTGCTACAAGCTAATTTGCAATCCGGCCGAATGAATGCCTTTCAGTGCTATTTTGATATTTGTATGTATATATTTATAAACAACTCTCTCTCTCTCTCTCTCGGTTAATTCAAGATCTCGATTATCACACTCACCAAATCATCAACCAGAGTTCCTGGAATGGAGTTTTCTTTTACTCTTCCTGTGTAAGAAGGTCTGGAGAATTCTGGCGCATTGTCGTTCAAGTCCGTTATATTCGTAATGAGTTGACCAATCGTCTGTGGGACAGAATGTTAAATGCTATTGTGTCCATTAAGGTGTGAATCGCAATACCACAAATCATTCAAATGAGAAATATGTTAGTATATAGTCTGTTTGTAATTGCTAATTGTGACGGAGCAATTTAATTGGCTTTGTCTACATTCCTTTGTCTGAAATCAGTTCATGAATCGAAAACGTCCACAAAACATGCCTCAAATATTGAGTATAAATGATGATATATATATAGAAGGAATTCGCAGGGACCGGAAGGTGAGTTCGAGACAACCGGGAATACGACACATCAAAGTTCGACTGCACTGATATATTGCAAGCATAAAGTCTTAGATGTATATATCCTAACACACATACATAAAGGTTCCTTAAATTGCTACTTACCAAAGGTGAGCATTGGTCGTCACTACCCATGTAAGCCTGAATGGCGAATTCAGTGTGTGCCTGGTCGTCGTTCTCTCGGTCTAGACCAATCGCTGTTGTGACGATCCCCTTGACAGAGAGAATGTTATTCGTAGTACGTGTTTTACTTGCATATCGACTCTTAACTGAAGCCATCAGATGACAAATGCCCCCGTAGGTACTATCCTCATTTTCAGTTAGGGGACACGGTCGCCGCAATAAGCTGTGTAGAGTTACGTCTGTTGGGCACGCCAGGAACCTATGACTGTGGGTTCGAATCCCGGTTCGCCCCGATTATGTTTCTAGGTGAGGTGAGGTGAAATTGGGTTTAACGTCGCGCCCAAGATTATTGCACTTATATAGCGACGTGCAAGCACGTGTATGTGGCTGCTTGTACTAGTCCGGACTGATGCCGATTTATAGTGCTAGCTCACTGAGATACCATGCCGCAGTTTAACATGAATACCCCACTCAGACACAGTATACTGACTCCGAGCCGACCAGTCCTTGTTTTAGCCCCTTAATGCCGAGCGCCAGACAGGGTAACAACAAGTACAATCTTTTAACGTCTTTTTGTATGACGCGGCCCGGGATCGAACCCTGGACCTTCCGCTCTCCGGGCGGACGCTCTACCACAAGACCACGGAGGCGGTCTATGTTTCTAGGTTTGTCAGCACCATACGCGTGCTCATGGGTTTCACCCAAGTGGTAAACGTCTGAGACCTGCATTACGTCGTGCTTTCTTCCATAAAGCTGACACGCCGTGATATAACTGGAATACTGTTAAAAGCGGCGTTAAGCCCACTCACTCACTCACTCACTCATTTTCAGTTACGTCAAAATTGTCATGAAAACATATTAAAAAAAATTAAAAATTAAGTCCCAAATTTCAAAAGGCACCATTTCACCAGTAGACTGATCTACATGGCAAGTTTCATCTATAAATATTCAACGTTTTACGAGTTCTACTCCAGGAACTACCCTCATTTTCAGTAAAGTCCAACTTGTCGTCATGAAAAAATATTAAAAATTAAAATCCCAAATCATTAAAATGTACCAGTTCGCCACTATACCGATCTGTACAGCAAGTTTCAACAAGAAATATTCAACTGTTAAGGACTTCTGCGTCAGAAATGGACATGCTGATATATACTCTTAAAAAAATGAAAGGCAATACGGATATTTTTGGCCATAAAAGAAAACTTAGCGGACCAAGGGGTGCAAAATGATGAGGTTTAATGGGTTATAGCGTCAGTGACAAATATCATGCAAAGGACATGCAAACCATTAGTCGGAAAACACGTACGATTCGGAAAAACGCACCACGGAGCTGCACGTACTGCACAAGCAGCAGCACTATGAACGGTATTAAAGTGCAGGGTTTTTGATTGCCTGTCATCTGCGTCAATCGAACAGTGACAGTTCAACAACATGCCAAGATTAACAGAAGTGCAAAGAAACAACGTCATAGGCCGCTTGCAGGCAGGGGAATCCCAATAAGCTGTAGCCAGGGTTTCCAATGTAGCGCCCAGTACCATCACAAGGCTATGGGATCGGTTTCAACAGCATGGGTCAACACGTGATCTGCCAAGATCGGGACGACCAAGAGTAACCACCCCCGCCCAAGATCGCTACATCCGACTCAGCCACCTACGTGAAAGGACGACCACAGCCACCTCAACCGCATCCAAAATACCCGGACTGCGCAGAATCTCCGACCAGACCGTACGAAACCGTTTAAGAGCAGCAGGTCTACGAGCAAGATCCCAATTGCCTGGATCGATGCTCATGATATTAATCACTTGATTGTCTGGTCCAGACTCGATTATTTGCAGACCGCCGTCAAATAGCTGGAATATTGCTGAGTGCGGCGTTAAACAACAAACCAACCAACCAACGCCTACAATCACCAAATGTTCTCTCCACAACATTGTGGCTAAATAGCGTGTACGGTTCCTCGAATAAATGCATTTTCCTACCTCACACAAATCTGTCTTTGTGTTTCTTTTTCTTTTTTTGAAGAGTATATTTGTTTGCACATCCGTGAGTTGGCTAGGGCATAGGAGAACGGGAGGAGGTATGGCTAGTGTTTCTTGCTATGGTACTTACAGATGTAGAATCCAGGCTGAAGAATCTGTGAGCTCGAGGGTTTCTAAATTTGTAACCGGTATAGTTTGACACTGTGACATCGGCCACAAATGCTCCTGGACTGTTTTCACTGACTCTGCCACGGAATGTCTTGTTGAGGTTGACTGCATTAATGGTGTAGGAGATGAGATAGACAGTGATGTTGGCTTCATCAGAGTAGGTTACTCCATCATAAGCCTTGACCCGGAGGGGGATCGCGGAGGGGAAACGGCCTCTTGTTAAATCCACTTTTGATGTCAAAACACCATCGTCGTTTATGCTGAAGTCGTCTTTATTTTCGCCTTCCAAATGAAATGTTATCCATCCAACCGTATCACCATCAGTGACATCAACAACACCGACTACAGTATCTCTCTTAGATCCAGCAAGTACCGTAAACTGGTATACCCTTTCTTTTAGTTCCGGGGGTTCGTCGTTGAGGTCGTCAATGTTGATGTGGACATCTACTGTAGTTGACTTTGTTCTGTTCGTTGTGACCAGATCAAGTTTAAAATCAATACTTTTGATACCAGCATCGAAGTCTATTGCGTTTACCAGCCGTACGCTCGTCAAGTCCTTTGTTAATTTTAGTCCATCTGGGAGCGTGTCATGTATGTCGACCTGGAACTTAGAGCTCGTTAAACTGTAGGTCAAGATATCACCCACCCAGTTCTCGTCTAATCTTGTAATAAAACTTCCTTTAAATAACAGTATGTAAAATGTTGCAATTGTTGCGCTCTGTCCTCTCGTTTTGACACTGAATATATATTCTTTAGCTACTGTGTCGTTATTGGTAAAGTCACTTAAAATCATATCCTGCCCACAGAGAACCTGCCCCGATGTGGTCACATTGAACAGGGCCCTTGCTGTCTGATCTGTGGTCTCCATTTCGAAGTTGCTGTACCCTCCCAAACTACCAATAGTCCTCACGTCAGCTATCAGCGTGCCTTTCCTGGTTCCCTCCACTAGCATAACTGTGACGTCTTCTGGTGTGAAGGAGGAGGATTCGATCCTGACGGTCACAACCTGCTGCACAGTGAACTCACCGGAAGTTGCACGTAACGCCACCACAAATGTTTTAGCATTGCTTATTTCCTTGACCAGTGCCACATCAATGTGACTCGAGTTTCTCATGAGGTCCAGTATCCCCTCATCAGGATATACTTGACCTTCTATGGAGAAGGCATTTGTGGGGAATGTACTAAGCCCATCAAACATGATTGATCCCACTGAAAAAAAATATGATATTAAGATTCGACTTAACTCTTTTATAAACGAATGGACCACGACGACAATGTAACAATTGTATTTTTTTTAAGTTGTCTGTCAAACACGACGATTGCTTCGAAGGGCGACTTACCAGTTACTGACGTTCTAGATAGATCTGTTTTGAAGTCGTAGTTTGTGGTTCTTGACAGAACACTTGGTCCTGAAATACAAAGGGTTGAATGAAGATCGTTTACAGTACTATGCATCGTTTCTAGGGTAGGAAACGTATTCCTTATTCCATTCTTACAATAATGATGTACACAATAACTCATATTTACCCAATGAGCATTCTGTAGCTGATATCTGCACGTTCTTGTTAACACAGGCACATCTACGGCTTCCGGCTGACGTCGTCACACACGAGCTGTTGACGGCCACACATCGCGCGTTGGAGCAGTCCTCGCCCAGAGAGGCATCTGTCATGGGGCCACACGTTGGTGGCGTTGGAGTGGTTGTTGCTAAATGTAAATTGTTTACTACAATATCAGGCCAGGATATGAAAGGATATGCCTCATGACTGTTATATTGCATTCCTATTGATGGTATAATTATTATTATTATTATTATTATTATTAATAATAATAATAATAATAATAATGCACGCCTACCTATTGTTTTGATAAAGTTTTATCACAAGGCAAATCCTTCCATTTCCAGGCCCTACCAAATGTATTGATGCAATATTTTGGGTATATTAACCCTAAGGTGTTGGGGACCAGTCCGGGTATCATGCCACATTCACGCTCTGTCACACTGTGAAAACGTTTATACTTACCAATTACAAGTAGTGCTTAAAACAATTGCAGATTAGACATTGGCAACACTGACTGAAAAGAAATGCATGATTTTGCATACATGATGTATGTAATAACATTTATCGACATTTGTACAATTGTTATCGGTATTAAACTTTGAACATTTAGTATTCATTGATATACGTAAGCGAAAAAATACCGACATGCGCACGCTGGATTTTTCAGTGGTATCTTTACAACCTGAAACGAAAACAGGATAATAATACAAATGTTTAATGTTGTTGTTGTTTTTTGTGTTGTTTGTGTCGTTTTTGGTTTGTTTTGTTGTTTTGTTTGTTTGTTGTTGTTGGTTGTTGTTGTTTTTGTGTTTTGGTTTGTTTTTTGTTTTTTGTTGTTGTTTTTTGGGGGGGGTTAGTACAACAATCAGTTTATGTTTGGATTTAGATGATTACATTAACACAACTAAAAATGAAAACTAATTTATCGAAGTTACGCCCAAGTCAAAATCACTGTATCACTGCATTGTCAGTCGTGTGTGACCAAAGAAAACACCTCTTAAAGCATATATGTCCCAATGTTATCATATTACCTGCAAGATGTTCAAGTAATCCCCCAGGATTGTGACAAGTCATCAAAGATGTTGGGTATCTTATGCTCCGCCTGAAAACATAATGATCAATGCATGAAGACATACGAAGAAACTAAATAGATCTATATGTGATGATGTGTTTGTGATGACTTATCACTTGCTGCAACAAGACAGAGAATATAATTCGCAACTCCATAAAAAGCCCCATCCCTTTTCAATGATCCTACCAGTTTAAAATCTGAATTTTGGAATGGAACGTGAGATTCGGAAAGTAAAGCTTCATTGACAGCCATAGCCGTAGGTGTGTGGCACGATGCCGTGGCTGTTGTACGTTGCTCATTTTATTACTTGCCCGTGAAGAGATCACAGTTTAATAAACATACAGCTGTATTACACATTGTATAATACCAAAGCGCGTGCTTATGTACTGCGGGAACAAGTTACTCTAACAAACATTGAAAGCTCTCAACATCCCTTGGCTTATGCAACGACGTTGCGTGAGGAGATCGGCACGTGGCATTGTTTCGCCGGTGGATATTGCAACAAAATTCCACAAATCACGTCAGAGAATTTTATGACGTGATTTGTGAATTTTGTGGTGCAGGTCCCGTTCCACAAGGCGATCGTATTGTAGCGCAACAACAGTCGTTTCTGTTAAAGTATGTGAGTAACGCTACGATAACTTTGTGGAACGGACGCCTGAATTCTAAAGGTGGGGCGTTGTGTGGTATTAAATTACTACGTGTCAACGTCTGACGTGTTTGAAGTATTATTCTGTTAAACTCAATTGGATTACGTTGTGGATCGTGTATGTTTCTGCCTATTCATACACGGCAGTGGAATTCTAAAGAAAGTTGCAAATGGCAAGTAATAAATAAAATACTTAACTCGCTCCCGTGTAATACCAATTTTATGAAACTCGTGAACTATTCACTCGTTTCATAAAATTGGTATTACGCGGGAGTTCGATTAGTATTCGATATTTATCCAACACTGGTTTTCCTGGACCGAGTACCATGACACACAATCAATCAGGCAATACCTTGAAATGAACAGATCTTCATTTAAGTCGACAGGTACAATACTGGGGACCTGTCATATTCTGGATATACTCGTCGCTCTTGCGTTACTTGGTATAAATATGTGAACTGCATCTGCACTCAACACAATAATAATGTTAGGGACATATTCTTAGAAATATTCCTCAAAAGAAAATAACTCTCTCTGAACCATTGGCAAAGCGGTAAATCCAACTTGTATTATGTGATTTTTAAAGCCACTGCTTCTATTATCCTGCTTCACAGTGAACGTTGACATCGGATGTCATTCCATCCATACGTCACACGTTCAATTTACGGTAAGAATAATGTGTTTGGAAGTATGTAAGGCGCATTGCTCTATACAAATGAATTACCTAATGTTGCGTGTCATATGCCTGTTTCGTTTTGTCGCTGTGGGTACATCTGATTGCACTTAGCAATGTTATGACAGGACAGGCAGGCTCTAAAGCGACTCTAAGCGACAAAACCCCCTCCATATCAAGTAGAAAATCTCTGCATAAATCAAGGTCGATTGTAAGATTCCGACTATATCATGATCATGTGTTTATGAATCACTATCAAATAGTGATGATGCCAGGTGTTCGCGAAAAGATGAGCGTATCCTGCCCCACCGGTGACACCCATCACAAACACATGCAAAGACAAGTCAATTGTTCACCTGAAAAAACACGGGAACATATGGTTCAAGTCAAAACAGGGAATTGCACTGGACATCATTTTTGTCACTGATGCGTCAAATTTGGAAATGTCTACAAACACATTTTAAAAGCTTTACTGAGGCCTTGAATGTTGTAACCTTGATCAAACAACTTCTGAGCAAGAGTCGTATGACGCTCTTTGAAATCTTGGTAGAAAGAGCATGCCCGAATGTATCTCAAAAGTTGGAGCTGGAGCTGCTGAAATACTATTAATGCTCGACATAAAAGGGAGAATTGACTATTCGAAAGTTGAAGTCATCCCTCTTGTCATGCAGTCTTGTGGAGAGTATTTTGCCACTTTGAATCTTTATGCACAGATCTAAATATGAAACAGATGAGGCGGTCTCACTGGTCTCCTTTATTTCTAGTTCAGGTGGGTAGATCAGTGGAAGGGCTCTTTGGTGGCTATTGAACGATATCCGATCATCGATATACCTGAATCTTAAGTTAAACTTCTTAGCCAAATTACCTTGTTTTCATTTTGCAATTCCGAGCAGAAATTCCGATTCATATGCATAAACGTCGCGTCCAAGATTATTGCACTTATATAGCGACGTGCATGCACCAGTGCGTGTGGCTGCTTGTACGAGTCCGGACTTATGCCGATTTATAGTGCTAACTTACTGAGATACAATGCCGCAATTTAACATGAATACCCAACTCAGACACAGTATACTGACACCGAGCCGACCAGTCCTTGTTTTAACCCCTTAATGCCGAGCAACAAGTACCACCTTTAACGTCTTTAGGTATCACGCGGCTCTCTGGCGGACGCTCCACCATTAGACAACGGGGGCGGTCTACCGAACAAGATGATACCCAGACATGTTATATTGCTATTATTGCTTGCTTTGTCCTGTAACTGGTTTCATTAGACTTTAAGTATTATTACCATTAGACTAATAAATATCCACAAACAGGGACCTTCATCTGATTTCAAGAATCCAACAGCCATATATAGGCTCTTACTTTTTGTTTAACTTACAGTCGGTAAGATAATAACATAACTAGATAGTAAGCGTCTTTGATATCGCCTCCATCCACGAAAAGACACTTACCAATAACATTGGAACAGACGTCTACAGCTCGGGCACACCCGCCTTCGTCTCTCTCCCCCGATAGCTTACACGGACAGCAGATAATCAACTAATCCCTTCATAGAATGCAGCGCGTAGAGAGAGCTTGAGATTTTGTATAGCTGGAACGAGGAAGTAAATACCATAGGCTCACGTGTGTCTCCGGGTGGGGTGTATATGAGGGTCCTGAGGGGTGTACATCTTGTCCGCTATTTGTGTGGCATTTTACTGACAATAAACCATCCTGACCCTCGTTTATGTGGGTAAGCCTCGATCGGCGTCTTGTCAGTGCAATGTAATGCCGGTGGCAACAGGGCTTGCATGTGGATATTTTGTAAGGTAATCAGTTGTGTACAAGGTTCAAATAGGCTTTCAAACCCCCTGACTGCGTTTTACATGCGCAATATCCAACATTTATATAACATTCCTGATTAATAATGCAGGGGCTGTGGTAGAAATTCAAGAAGTTGGTTTTGTTATTTCATGAGCATGTTCCATGTGTCGTATGTGTGTTTGACAGGGGGCTGTGAGTGTTTGACAGGGGTTGTATGTGTGTTTGACAGGTGGCTGTGAGTGTTTGATAGGAGTCTGTATGTGTGGTTGACAGGGGTTGTATGTGTGTTTAACAGGGGGTTGTGAGTGTGTTTGACAGGGGACTGTAAGTGTGTTTGACAGGGGGACTGTATGTGTGTTTGGCAGGGGGCTGTGAGGGTTTGACAAGGGTTGTATGTGTGTTTCACAGGGGGCTGTGAGTGTTAGAAAGGAGTCTGTATGTGTGTTTGACAGGGGGACTGTATGTGTGTTTGACATGGGGAGTGTATGTTTGTTTGACAGGGGGACTGTATGTGTGTTTGACAGGGGGCTGTGAGTGTGTTTGACAGGGGGACTGTATGTGTGTTTGACATGGGATGTATGTGTGTTTGACAGGGGGCTGTGAATGTGTTTGACAGGGGTACTGTATGTGTGTTTGACAGGGGGCCTGCATGTGTGTTTGACAGGGGGCTGTGAGTGTGTTTGACGATGGGAGTGCATGTGTGTTTGACAGGGGTTGTATGTGTGTTTGACAGGGGGACTGTATGTTTGTTTGACAGGGGGACTGTATGTGTGTTTGACAGGAGTTGTATGTGTGTTTAACAGGGGGCTGTGAGTGTGTTTGACATTTGGAGTGTATGTGTGTTTGACAGGGGGACTGTATGTGTGTTTAACAAGGGGCTGTGAGTGTTTGATAGGAATCTGTGTGTGTGTTTGACAGGTGGCTGTGAGTGTTTGATAGGAGTCTGTATGTGTGTTTGACAGGGGTTGTATGTGTGTTTGACAGGGGGCTGTGAGTGTGTTTGACAGGGGGACTGTATGTGTGTTTCACAGGGGGACTGTATGTGTGTTTAACAGGGGGCTGTGAGTGTGTTTGACATTTGTTTGATAGGAGTCTGTATGTGTGTTTGACAGGGGTTGTATGTGTGTTTGACAGGGGACTGTATGTGTGTTTGACAGGGGGATGTGAGTGTTTGATAGGAATATGTATGTGTGTTTGACAGGGGGCTGTGAGTGTGTTTGACAGGGGGACTGTATGTGTGTTTGATAGGAGTCTGTATGTGTGTTTGACAGGGGTTGTATGTGTGTTTGACAGGGTGCTGTGAGTGTTTGATAGGAGTTTGTATGTGTGTTTGACAGGGGTTCTATGTGTGTTTGACAATACATGTCATACATGTGTAATGCCCATGACACAGAACAGTACATGTCATACATGTGTAATATCTAATGACACAGAACAGTACATGTCATACATGTGTGATACCCCATGCCAAGGAACAGTACATGTCATACATGTGTAATACCTAATGACACAGATCAGTACATGTCATACATGTGTAATACCCCATGACAAGGAACAGTACATGTCATACATGTGTAATGCCCATGACACAGAACAGTACACGTCATACATGTGTGATACCCTATGACACAGAACATTACATGTCATACATGTGTAATGCCCCATGACACAGAACAGTACATGTCATACATGTGTAATACCCCATGACAAGGAACAGTACATGTCATACATATGTGATACCCCATGACACAGAACAGTACATGTCATACATGTGTGATACCCCATGACACAGAGCAGTACATGTCATACATGTGAAATGGCCCATGACAAGGAACAGTACATGTCATACATGTGTAATACCCCATGACACAGAACAGTACATGTCATACATGTGTGATACCCCATGACACAGAACAGTACATGTCATACATGTGTTATACCCAATGACACAGAACAGTACATGTCATACATGTGTGATACCCCATGACAAGGAACAGTACATGTCATACATGTGTTATACCCCATGACACAGAACAGTACATGTCATACATGTGTGATACCCCATGACACAGAACATTACATGTCATACATGTGTTATACCCCATGACACAGAACGGTACATGTCATACATGTGTGATACCCCATGACACAGAACAGTACATGTCATACATGTGTAATACCCCATGACACAGAACAGTACATGTCATACATGTGTATTATCTAATGACATGTCATACATGTGTAATACCCCATGACACAGAACAGTACATGTCATATATGTGTAATACCCCATGACACAGAACAGTACATGTCATACATGTGTAATACCCCATGACACAGAACAGTACATGTCATACATGTGTATTATCTAATGACATGTCATACATGTGTAATACCCCATGACACAGAACAGTACATGTCATATATGTGTGATACCCCATGACACAGAACAGTACATGTCATACATGTGTATTATCTAATGACATGTCATACATGTGTAATACCCCATGACACAGAACAGTACATGTCATATGTGTGATACCCCATGACACAGAACAGTACATGTCATACATGTGTATTATCTAATGACATGTCATACATGTGTAATACCCCATGACACAGAACAGTACATGTCATTGATGAATGCTTGATTCTGATTGGTTAAAAAGAGGTTTCCTTTTTGCTACGGAAACCCCTTTCAAATATATTAAGCCTTTTCACACAAAAAACGTGCGTATGAATACATAGATAGCCTACATATCGATTCACAGAAAATGGCTGCCGATCGATCACCCCCATATGAACTGTAAAACGTATCTATATTTCCTCTAATACACGCTGGGTCTCTAATACCAGACAGGTCTCTAATACACGCCAGCCATTGACAGCTGCGAGGTGTGAGTAACCGTGATTTAGGTCAAGTTCTGCCACATCCAAGTTCGGGGTAGAGAGGCATTTACTTTGATGTTATTATTGTTTACTGGGGGTAATTGCTATCTAACTAATAACTTTTAGACATGTTAAGTGTATATTAGAATGTTAATTCATAAAGTTTGCTGTAGAAATATATTCGTTTAGCATTTTAAAACCTTTTTTCTATTACCCGTCACCCCTACAATAGAAATGAAGGCATGGTCGATTTCCAAGAAATGACCTCTCTCACAAATTTCCGAGCAACGACAGCCAAGTCCACAGTGTTCAACAGTGTGCAACAGTTTGATAGAAATTAAAACATCTCTCTTTGGATTAAGATAGGAGTTTAATTTGTCAACTTCGTTTGAAAAACTATGTGTTTTGAACACTTATTATGAACTACTCACGACTTTGGTGTTTTTTAATCTTGAACTTTATTAATATTTGTTACATATATAACTACCTGTGACCTAAGAAAGCGGACCTGTGCACCTGTGTTATTACGCGTTGCAAGAGAGCACCATGTTCAAAGCGGTGTTGCCGTCATGGTAGAATGGAGATAAACCTACTGTGTTTTGAAATTTGATGTAGTCCCACTGTAGAATAGATACCTCTTTATTATAATTTGGAACCGAGCGCTTTAGCGCGAGGTTCCAAATTATAATAAAGAGGTTTCAAAACACAGTAGGTTTATCTCCTAAATGACATGTCATACATGTGTAATACCCCATGACAAGGAACAGTACATGTCATATATGTGTGATACCCCGGAAGGTCGGTGGTTCAATCCCCGGTCGCGTCTACAAAAGACGTTAAAAAGATGGTACTTGTTGTTACACTACCTGGCGCTCGACATTAAGGGGCTAAACAGAGACAGGTCAGCTCGGTATCTCAGTTGGCTAGCACTATAAAATGGGCAATAGTCCGGACAAGTACTAGTTTTTCCTGTAACATATGTTCATTCCAGAGAATAGATGTTCGTCTCACTCACACACACACACACACACACACGCACGCACACACACACACACACACACACACACACACACCTTAAGCTACAATGTCGACGTCAACATCAGAGTTCTTAGAATTTGGAAAACAGTACATTCAGCCAATATGACCTTCTTATGTTTGGAAACTGTTATTCAGTCCTATATTATATTAGCGGCCCTTCAATAGTTGTCCTGAATATAAACCCAGACCCGTGTGTACCAGGATGTTACTGGCTTACTCATTATTCTGGAGCTCGACGCGAAGCATGGAGAATCACACAGCATTCATGAAACTTGATCAGCCATGAACAAATGTGTCTCACAACAGTGAGAACGCAATGCATAATTCAGCGTAATTCCTACCTGTCTTTGGAACAGACAGGCCACCTGATTTTTCATACTAGCGTTAGTTCGAAATGTCAAGGGCATATGTGACGTAGTTGCAAAACGTATAGAGCCCCGAACAGGATCTGTGCAGATTGAGCGGACCAATTAAACGTATAAAGCCCCGAACAGGATCTGTGCAATTTGAGCGGACCAAGGGACTGGGGGAATGGTGGAGGGGGTTGGGGGTGTTAGGTGTGTTCACAGTTCCAATTAATCAAACAAAGAAGGGCTTTATTTCTTATATGTGATATCAACATTTTGTACAACCTCTTTAAGGATGTTAATAGAATGTAAAATGTAAAAGCTTTAAACATATTTACCTGTATTTAAATAATGATGGCTCCCTGAATACAGTCCGACCTCGGCGATGTCGGACAACTCCATTTTAAGAACAGAGGGGCTACGTTTGGTATTTCCCAGATATTTCATTTTTCACATCGTTTATCTGTCCCTTTTTTCCCGATACGATTGTCATATCTCTCCAACATTTGAATGCGATCATCCTATTCGGCCATTGCGTTCATCAACGTGAATCAGCTACATCTATGGGGAACAACTCACAAGACACTTCCTTCTCCAAAAGTCGTCCAATTGACGACGTCATCAAGTTGCGAGCGTATGTTCGAATCTCCAGAAATGACGTCATGATAGATCCAGTGTGTTATCGTGAAATATAAGATAGCTACGCACTTAATCGCAAAGAACAATGAAGAACGAAGCATGGTTTATGCCACGATAAAGCATTATTCTATCATGACGTCATTTCTGGTGATTTAAATATGCGCTCGCAACTTTATGAACGACGTTATTTTTGAGAGGGAAGTTTCTTGTAAATTGTTCCACATAGATATAGCTGGGCTACGCAGATAAACGCAGTGGCCGAACGATCGCGTCCCAAAGTCTGAGAGATGTGGCAATCGGTATTAGGAGAAAAGGTTCTGATACTCGACGTGAGGATTGTGAGAATATGCGGGAAATACCAAACTTAACCCATCTTTTCGTAAAATGGACTTGACCGACATTTCCGGGTCGTATTCTATTTAGGGAGTAATCATTATTAAAATTTGGGAAAATATTTTTAAAGCCTGTACATTTTATCAACATCCTTAAAGGGGCTGTACACAATGTCGATATCTCATATAAGAAATAAACGCCCCCTCATGGTTTATTCTCCCTGCAGTGATTTATTGTACGATAAACAACTCCCAGTCGTCGTTTATTTCTTCAATAATCCAAGCTTCGTTCTTCTTTGTTCTTTACTATTTATCGCGTAGCTATCTTTAATATATAGGGGGCAGTCGGGTAGCCTAGTGGTTAAAGCGTTAGCTCGTCACGCCGAAGACCCGGGTTCGATTCCCGAAATGGGTACAATGTGTGAAGCCCATTTCTGGTGTCCCCCGCCGTGATATTGCTGGAATATTGCTAAAAGCGGCGTAAAACCAAACTCACTCACTCACTCACTTTAATATATAGATATGACCAGGCAGTCTATCGGTGTATAGCCTCCCTGATATAACGAAGCACATTATGCTAGTGATGGTTTTACAGTTGTGGTGAGTGTAAGTTGGAGACTGTCACCTGTATTTTTATTCTAGTTCCGAACACATATCCTTGTGATACAAATGTGAAACACATCAGTTGATGGCAATGTTTGCGATACAGTTACAGTGAGCCGAATACACAACGTATACAATCGAAACCGGGATACAATCTCGTTCGTAATCAACATTCAACATTCATCCTGTTTATCTAAACGAGGAAAGAGGCGGCGGTCGAACTCGTTTTTCCTCGCGATCGTATGAAAACAATAGCGGACATGAAAAAAACATTAGCAAAGTAGCTTGTTGATATATTTCATCGCCCAAAACAAGCTTCCGAGGTGTTAATATGTATATTTACATTCTCAAGTCCACCTACAAACTTATTTAGTACAGATTTGTACAGATTTGTACAGAATTGTCACGAACGTGAGTATACGCGTAACAGTTCTTCGCATGGCCTAATGAGTGAGTGAGTGAGTGAGTTGGGTTTAACGCCGCTTTTAACAGTATTCCAGTTATTTCACGGCGTGTCAGCTTAATGTGGGAGGAAAGCCCGAAGTGATGCAGGTCTCAGACGTTTACCACTTCGGTGAAACCCACGAGCACGGGTATGGTGCTGACAAAGCTAGAAACATAATCGGGGCGAACCGGGATTCGAACCCACAATCATAGGTTTCTGGCGTGCCCAAGGGACGCAACTCTGCACAGCGAATCGCGGCGCCTTAGACGACTGGGCCACCCGTGTCCCCCGCATGGCCCAATGTGACTTCTAAGAGTGCTCTCCCGTGTAAGGCAAGCCATAACCATAGATACGAACAGATCTCTTCTGGTATCTTCCTACATCCCAAATGTGACACGTAATTGTTTGTTTGTTTGTTTGTTTCATGTTGTTTAACGCCGCACTCAGCAATATTCCAGCTATATGACGGCGGTCTGTAAAAAATCGAGTCTGGACCACACAATCCAGTGATTGACATCATGAACATCGATCTAGGCAATTGGGATACGATGATATGTATCAACCGAGTAAGCGAGCCTGACCACCCGATCGCCTGTTATGGCAAGCATGGGTTGCTGAACACCTATTCTACCCCGGATCTTCACGGGTCGAAAGTTAATACATTAATTCGTAACTTAGATTTTCATAGAAACTTGCTTTCCACAATAGCGGATACTTCCGACACAGTTAGAACTCAATTAGGTCACAAGCGTATTGTTATTGCGGGGACGGTAGCCTGGGGGTTAAAGTGTTCGCTCGTCACGCCAAAGGCCTATATTCTGGTCTCCCCTGACGTGATATTAATGATTAATAATAATGTGATAGTGAGTGAGTGGGTGAGTTTGATTTTACACCGCTTTAAGCTGTATTCCAGCAATATAGCGGCGAAGGACACCCAGCTTCCCGTAGCAAGGGAGATAACTGAGTATAAAAGTCCAGTGAAAACTGGACAGTCAACTCCCTTGCCTCGGAAAGATTGGGAAACCGTAAATGGGCTTCACACATTGTACCCATGTGGGGAATCAAACCCGGGTTTTCGGCATTACGAGCAAACGCTTTACCTCAAGCCTGCCCCAAATGAGATAATGATTAATGAAACAAGATCACAGTTTTACACGAGATTACACGAGATTTCAACATTTTGACATATAAACTACAATTAGGTGGAGAATAGTTGCGGTTGTTAGCGAAAGCGTGCATAGCAGCGCTTTATCAATGCCTATTCCTGACAAACAGGTCATTGATAGCAAGAGCACAACCATGCTTTTGCATTACGAAGTCTTACGTTGAAAACTATACCTAATCCTCCTTTAAGTCATGTAAGTGGACACTTTCGACAAACACGGGGTTCTTTCTGTACTAGAAGACCAGTTGCCGATGATATGCTATTAAATGTTGTTTTTAGTATAATTCTAAACGCACTGGCTAACGATACATATTTCTGTTTTGACCTTGTTAAATATAAATGTTATGCGCTGTATGACTGCAGTTGTTAAAGCATTGCGGTATAGTAACGATTTTTCAAAATAGTTTAAATTTACTGAAATGAACTTTTTGAGGGATGATTTTTTTCAGAAATGCTCGTAGAAATATTAGTTACATGGATAAGTAAATTAGCGAGAGAGTTGGTTTTTAATCGCTTTTATGAAGATTGCAGGTATATTACAGAGTATCAGCTTAATTGTGAGGAAAACTTCAGGTCACCCAGATCTTTATCACTTTGGCAACAATGCTAGATATGGGGCGGTCAGACCAAGGGTCAAAATCGGTGCAAATGTGAGATTTCTGGCACGACCAAGGGACGTAACTCTGTACAGCGAATTGTGACGTCTTGTATCCTGAATCTCATCTTCCCGAGGCAAGGGAGTTAACTGACCATAAACGTCCACACTTGCCGAACTAGGCTGGAACTATGGAGTTACATTTTTGCTGGACTTACAAGTCTATGCATAGTCCAATCAAAATCGCGAAACGAAATCGACATCCGGTTCATAAACAACACAGTGATTGCCGTGCAGATTTCGGTCGACTGCAGGATCTGCATAGCATGTGTGCCGTCAACTGGGCGTCCCCAGATACTTTCCAAATATTTTCATGTTTTTAATCAAGGTGCTCAAGTGATCTGATGCTCTTTGCGAGATTAGATCCGATTAATTGTGATAAAGATATTGATTATCGATCAGATCGTATTGACTTGGGGGCGCCATTTTGTTTGAAGCCAATGCCAATGATATGAGAGGTGGAATCTGACTGATCAGTGGGAGGAACATAGAGGGCACATAACTCGTCATAGTCAAGGTGGCGCTACGATCGAACCACGAAATTCCAGCCTAGTTCTGCAAGGGTGGAAATTGGACTTTTACAGTCACTTAGCCTCTTTGCCTTGGGAAGATCCGTGAGTATACGTGTCAGGGGGACTCAGAGTATGTTTTTGAATAGTATACATAAAAAATACATGTGGAGGTTTCATAGGTGATCAGATAACTTAAGTTTGAACTATGGGCCTAAAATGTTTTTTTCAAGAATTTTCGATATCAAAAATATCAAGTGGTCGGTCGCTTAAATAGATGAATACCGTCAGCTCTACACTGCCTCATATAAATTCTTAAAGTTATGAGCTTGACAATTTTCGACCAAGGGCAGTTCAACAAAACGCTTTAATTCTCTACTCATTTTTTCAAATGTGTGCATATACAAAAAAATAACTTTAACAAATTAACACCTTGAAAACCCTATATCGACATCGATACAATAAATCGCTACTCTTTTATAACG